TAACACTATAGTAAAAGTTGCATTATAATTAATAAATATTAATTAACTATAATTAAATTAATTGTTCCATCATTTCAAAGTGTTCTAGGGCATCTGGGGCATGACCTGAGGCCTTTGGTTAGGGCCTTTATAACACTAAACAACTGTATTTTTAGATATTTTAATAACTATTAGTTATAATAGAATATTATAAGAAATCTACTAATAAAATAAATATTAACCTATTAAATAGGTGATTAAAACTAATAAAATAATTTATGAACTATGTAAAAATATTAGAAAAATTATAAAATATAATATAGAGCTAAAAATAAGTATATACTAATATAGGAAAAAAATAAATTCTATTACAATAGTATTATTTATGAAAATTTTGATTTAGAGAAGAAAATTTTAATCTGAAAAAAAAATTTAAAACAAATAATCTATATAAACAAAAATTTATAAGTAGGAGTACTACTAATTTAATTACAGATTAGGGATAAGGTCCTGTAGCCTAGTGGTCTAAGCACCTCTCTCTCTATAGACAAGGTTGATAGTTTAATTCCAGCTAAAGGCAACTCTGTAATCTATGAAAGCATATAAATATATATGAAGCCCTGTAGCTAAGTTCATGTGATTAGAAAATCAGTATATAAGAAATTCCTGGAAAAAAGACTTCTGATATGGAAAGTTGGCACTCAATGCGAAAGAAGTGGTGAACATATCAAAAATAAAGAGAAGGCACACTAGCAGGTGATATAGTGAACATAAAAGAAAACTATGTAAAAGGAATAAACTTACCAAAATTTGAACACTTCTGGCATCAAACCAGTTCTAGTAGATATGAGATATACTAAAATTGGATAAATCTAAGAATAATCTTGGTACTAAACTTAGTAAGTTTGTGTCAAGGATAAATTCGAAAGGACTACAGATACTTAGTAATATCCAATGAGATGGGACTTAGATATAAATAGTAATTAGATAGCTCTAACCTGTTCTGTCATAATCATGATAGTATACATTGTATATATATGCAGTTAAGTGTTAAAAATCAGAAAGTTTAAATAGAGGACTCATAGGCAGGTCTTAGGTATAGCATCTAGTAGGTAACCTATAGGCAGAACTCTTAATTAGATAATAACTAAAGTTATATATATGACTAGTTGTACTTTCATTAATATATTCTGTATATAATATGTAATCTTATACTACTACTAATAAAAAGACATACAGGCAAGACTGCCCTTAAAATTAAAAAAAAATTTAATTACAGATTGATTTAAGCATAAAATTATATTATGTAAAACTAATTAGATTGGTAATATAAAAGAACTTATAAAAACAAATAAGATACTGATAAGATTATAAAAGAAAGTATTAAAATTATATAAATTTTATAAAAATTAAAAACTAAATCAATTATAAAATAAACTACAAAAGACTTTAATAAATTTCTTTTAAAAATAAATTAATTCTAAAATTGAAATAAAAACCTAAGCATATAAAAACAAATATTTCTATAACTTAGTAAAATTATTATTAAGAATGCAAAGAATAGCAATCTTAGTATAATGGTTAGGTTGTTATCTTCCAAGCAGTAGGTTTAAAATTCAAATTCTACTAAGAGTAGAAATTTGAAAAATAGTCCTATTCTGGCAACTTGATTAAAGTATTTGGGGTTGTAATTTTATAATTCTGATTGTTTTAAAACTAACTTTAGAAGCATGCAATGTTATATAAATAAATTTGGAAAGTATATATTCTTTAAAAAGCTTTGTTTAAAAATTTTAAGTAGAAAGATAATATGATCTTTGATGGTATCACTTGTAAAAATCTTAATATAAAAATGAAAATCTAAAGCAGATGACCTGTACAAACAAAAACTTTAAATAAAGATGTCTACTAATCTGACTATTGGTTGAACTAGATATGAAGTTATATTATACAGAGCTAACTAAATTGGTAGTATAAACAAATTTGCAAAAGTATATAAGATACTAATGAGATTGTAAAGAAAGATACTAAAGTTGTATAAACTTTACAAGAATATAGTAAATTAAAAATTATTCTAACTAGTTGGAGTGTGGTGATCTAGTGAAATGGATAGGTTATCAACCCCCAAGTGGCAGGTCTAGAGTTCAAATCCTAGTGACAGTGAAAATTTGCAATTCTTTCTGTATTATGACTAACTGTCTTCTGTGATTAGTTGGAATAAGATACCTATAACCCGTGTCATACCAGCCTGACTGGAAGGTCTAGGCATTTATGCAACGTTGTATGAAGGAACACAAACCAGTACCAGGCAGTGTAAACCCAAGATAAGTTCTTAGACCATGTAAATCATAGGAACTAGGTAGGAGGACAGAAGCCCACTTGGAAGACCCGAGTAGAGAGATAACCCAAACTTTTAACGATGCTACTGTAAAGACTAGATCTATAAAATGAAGCTAGAACTTGTGAAACTGGGCAAAGAGCCGATCTTTGAGAAGGGGCTGAATGGAACCAACCAGGCCGCCAGAATTTCTGGGTTCTGGAGGAAAAGGTTACATGCCAGCAAACATGTAAACCAAAGATGTATAGTTACGACCTGCCTTTCCAGACTATCTGGTTTGGGAGCTTGATGGAACTTGAATTAAATACCAAAGTAGTAGAGATATATTGTGAAATCAGTACTAGGGTTAGGGTAAACTCTATAAGAGCATAGCGGTTTAATAGTACACCCTAACTGTCAGTGTTGGTCTTGGCTATAGCGATACCAGGTCAGCTATAAGAATGGGATACAGAAGATTCTGGAAGATTTAGTACAAGGTTAAAGGTTCCCCATATGAGTAAACTGCTTTAAAGACTTAGTGACCATGGTATATTTGAACTGGTATCGACTGGGGCATCTTGGTAGATATAGGTAGGTGAGTGGATACAGGAACAGAGTAGTTAAATAGGAAACCTACAAGCAGGTTCCAGGTATGGCAGCTAGTGTAGAACCTTCGGGCGGACTACTTAAATTAGACAATGACTAAAGTTGTACAAGTGGCTAGTTGTATACTCTTTCATGATTGCCCCCTATGGTTGTAATGCAACCATTAGCTGAATGTACTATCAATAAAATCCTGGGTCACAAGTACTCACCTTAATATTTAAAAAAAAAAAAAAATTAATAAATAAATGTCTTACATTTATTCTTTTCAACTCCAATTCCTTTATAATAAATATGTTTAACCTGAAATACTTCACTAGTATTTCCAATTTCTGCTAATTTTTAAATGCTTTATGTTTATTCTTTTCAATTCTTATTCTATATAAATAATTGTATTCAAGATTATAATAACCTAACTTGGTTGATTTTATTATGATAAAAAATTATAAATTTTCATTTTGCTTTTTAGCAAAAAAAAACAAAAAAAAATATAAACCTATGTTCAATAAGATTTTGTACAGCTTAAATAATCAAATAACATAAAATAAATTTAAAGTTTAAATAAATTTGAATAACAATCACAAATTAAAAAATAAATAGCATCTTTATTTATTATTATTTGAGCTCTGATTAATATTTAGATTGACTAAATTTTCTTATTTTAAATTTGCAAGTGATATATTATAATTGCTTGTAATGCAAATCCATTATTTGGTTCTATATTTAATGATTCATTTGAATTTGCAAGTAATTTTTAAAATTATTAATGCTTTCTAAATACCTTATAATCTAACCAATTCAATTGCAAAAAAAAATTATATATATATATTTTTTTTCTTTACTTTTTTTTTTTATTTTTTTTATTTATTGGAAAAATTTAAATAACTAAACTCATTTAAAACACTTAGTGAAACATGGCAATGTGACTGATATTTCTTTACTACAAAAATGATGGCTCTATCTAAAAGACCATGTACATAAGCACTTATAAATTGCTCAGATTGACATATAAACTGACAGATCTTGGCCAAAGTAACAGAATTCAATGCTTGTAGAATGTTTTTTTTGAGGCTTTTAAATAAATAACCACAATATAAATGTGCATATCATTTTACATCTTACCAAAATACTTCAATATAGTTAAGCTCACAATAAAATTTAAAATAAAAGATGCATATATGTCTAGCAGTCTTAATAATTTCTTGTAAATGGTTTTTTTAAAACATAAAATTAGGCTGACAACTAAGAATATGAGTTGCATAACATTGTTTGTTTGTTGGATTAAAAATATACAATTTACATGACTCATATTTTTTTTGTAAATTTTTTATTCACAGGCCACATTCTTCAAGAATACATTGAATCTCTTTTGGTTTTTTTATACTATTCTCATTTACAAATGTTATTACATAAACAGAGCCTTCAGACATTTTTTCATCTCTAAGTAGAGGTTGCTTGCTTCTATTTTTTAAATTCATCTGTGAAACAACTAAGGCATCATTAGTATATGTGTTATGAGAGCAGTTGTTATCAAACATAAAGAGTGCAGTTTTACTAAAATGTGTTTGTTCAAAAATTGGAATAGCACTTTCAATCACTTGTTTTATAAGATCCTTATATATCTACCAATCATCTCTATTAGAACCCAAATATATTATAACATATGCCTTATTATATGAAATTTACTCATCATTAAGAAGAAGATTATTTATGACTTTGTTTTCTTCTAAAAGGCAAAAACATCCAATTGATTTATAAATAAATTCACTAATGTAAATATTTAAACCTAGTAACTTTCATCAAATTTGGTGTTTGTTTGCAAGACCCCATGTCTTGGTAATATCATTATTGGCATAGAAAACAGATTTATTATAGATAACTAGAACAATTTTAGAAACATTAGATAAAAGGTTAGATAAAACAACCTGTTTCATATTTCCTTCTTTATATGTCACCATTCTGGATCTTAAAACAGTTATTTGTTTCAAGAATTGATTTCTGTAAGCAATCACATTGTCATATTCATAATCATCAAAATAAATGTTTTTCGAATAATTCTTATAATCTCATCCAAGTTGATGCAACCATATATGAGTAGTTGTCTCAAAAAAAAAATTTTTTCAATTTCAAAGGCAGATATAGCATCATTTTCAATAAAATTTATAAACTGGCTAACTGTTATTGTAAACTTATTAGCATGCAAATATTGAACAATATAAGACTTAAAATCTTCATATTATAAAAGAGAATTAAATTTTAAATGCTGACCACAACATGATTTATGAAGTTTTTCTTTTTTTAACTACTTATTAGCTCATAAATATATTAATCTTGCATGCTATAAAACTCTGTTAATATTCTAAAAAAAAATCTTACTAGCAGTTATTTTAGAAAAACTCTGGTCTTCAACAAGATGAAAAAATTAACTTACTGTATACAGGTATATATCATCTGTTGTTTTTTAACATAATATTTAATGACTCCAAGGTAAATTTATCATTTTCATCACTGGAGTTATAAAATAGAATATTATTATACTCATTCTTATTTTCAATATTGTGAATATTGTTTATAAAATTTTTTGTATTGCTATCTGAGAGGTTATAAAAAATTCAATCTGTAATCTTGTTAGAACCCAATGCAGCTTTTCTCAAGATCATTCTTTTATTGTGAAAGGTTGATTGGACAAAGCCTGTATAAATCTGTTTCTGTTCTTTTATTTTTTATATTTTCAAATGTTTTGCATTATTAATGAGTTTCTCCAATATACTTGATTTAATACTTTCTAAATTATCTACAAATTAATCATCACTAGGCATCTTAGAAGGTTTATTTAATCTAACATTAAACTACTGCTTTCTAATAGCTACTTGGCAATTTCTAGAATACTTGTTTCGTTTAGATATCAAAAAATTCAAGATTACTATAATAGATAAGTATCTAATTTCTTGTGTTATTTTTATAACTTTATATCAATTTTGACTATACATATATGCTTCATGGATTATATCAACTTTGTGGATTATACCAACCTCATAGATTATATTGACCTTATAGTTTATACCAGTATTGTAAGCTTCCTAGAGTTAAACAAGCTTCAATGAATTACTGACCTTGTGGCTTGGCAGCTTAGTAGATTACAAACTACAGACTTGGTTTTTATACTGACTTTATTTAACTATATTTGTTTGTATACTGTTCACTTTAGCATGAAATTCAAGATATTGTATGTATGTTTAGACAAGAAAAAATAAAAGTTATCTAAAAAAAAGAAAAAAAAAAGACTTTTATAGTCAAATTCGAAAAAAAAGTCAAATCATATAGGCTAATTTTGAGTATAATCTGAATAGTAGAACCGATTACTTATAACTCCAATCAAATTTACAGATTATTTGGCCAGATTTAAAATATAAAACTCTAGAATTAGTCAAATGATCTGCAAATTTAATCAAAATTATAAATAATTGGTTCTACGATTTAAATCACAAATAAAATTAACCATAATGTTGTTGAAATCTAATTGAATTACTAAATTACTAACAGGTAACTAACCAATCATATTATGTTATCCTATATATTAATAATTGACAAAATTTTCAGTAGGAATCTACAATTAGATATGATTAGGTCATTTGCACCATATATAATTAATTGCAAAAAAAATTTTATATAGTAACTACAAAATATATTACTAATAAACCTTTTTATTTTTTAATTAATTAATAAAAAAATTTTATAATATTATAAATAAAACAGTGTTAGGCTAATCAGACCAGTTTGACCATTTGATCAGATCAATTTGACCATTTGACTGGTCTGGTCAAAGAATTTTTACTGGTCAAATAGCATTTTGAATATAATTTATTATATAATAAATATATTATATTTATATAAATA